CTGTGGAGGAATTGAGTTGGACTCCTTACACGCAGGGTTTCAAGGGGAACGCATGCCACCGCAACTCCAAGGCAATGCTTGTGGTGTGCCAGCGCTTTGCCAGCGCAAGGCCAATGCAATGCCAAGGGGCACCAATGAACATGCTTCCTTCTAGATTCAAATAGAAATCCGTATGTGGATGATTGAACTAGGAATCCTGCTATAGAGGGTCTAGGAGCCCTCATGTGGGGGAATCCAACAGGAACCTTTGTACGAAGGGCTGCAAAATGCAATACCTATTCGATTACAAGGCAATGCCTGTGTTATGCCAGCGCCCTGTCAGCGCAAGGCCAATACAATGCACAGGGGCAACAATGAACCTTTTCTTAATGTTGCAATACAAATCCTTCTGTGGAGGACTGAATCAGAAATCCTGCTATGGAGGAGTTCGTTTGGACCCTTCCGTGGATGAATTGAATAGAAATCCTTGGATGATGGGCTTCGAGAGGGATGCAGTGCCAAATCAATTCCAAGACAGTGCTTGTGCTATGCCAGCGCTTTGCCAGCGCAAGGCCCATGCAATGCCAAGAGGTACCAGTGTACCATTTTCCTTCTAGATTGCAGTAGAAACCCTTACGTGGATGATTGAACTGGGAATCTCACCAGTAAGAGCCCCCCTGCGGAGAAATTCAATAGATATCCCTGCGCGAGGGGTTTCAAGAGAAATGCAGTGTCACATCGATTCCAAGACAATGCCTGTGCTATGCAGGCGCTTTGCCAGCGCTAGGCCAATGCAATGCCATGGAGCACCAATGAATTCGTTGTTTTTGCAGCTTGAAATCGTAATCCTTCTGTGGAGGACTGAAATAATCCCGCCATGGGGGATTCCAGTGGGAGCCTTCTAAAGACTTCAATAGGTATCCGTCTTTGAAATGCCTCAACAGTGATGCAATGCCAAATCAATTCCAAGGCTATGCGTGTGCTATGCCAGCGCTTTGCCAGCACAAGGCCAGTGCGATGTCAAGGGCCACCAATGAATCGTTTGCCTTCTATATTCAATAATTCAATCGAAATCCTCATGTGGGTGATTGACCTCGGAATCCTGCAATGGAGGATTTCAGTAGGAGCCTTCTGTGGAGGAACTCAACTGGCCGCTGGCATGCCAGTTCTATGCAAGTCCGTGCCAAGCCATTGCCAGCACAATGCCAGTGCAATGCCAGCACGAGGTCGTTGCATGCCAATCCCGATCGATGCGGACGCAATTAATGCTGTTTGTTCCCCGTTTGTCACTGGGAACCCTTCTGTGGATGATTTAGATCGGGATCTTTCAGTGGAGGAATTGGTTAGGAATCCTTTTGCGTGCGCGTGGAGAAAGGGGTTGAGCATAGGAATCCTTCTGGTTCAGGATTTCATATAAATTGGTCTTGCAGGGGGAGGGTCACTAGGAATCCTTCTGATGGCGGGTTTCATAGGATTCCTTATGTAGAGGTTTCAACGGAAGTCGCCAGCGCAGTTCAAGCGCAAGGCCAGCGCACTGCCGACGAAATGCAGCGCAATACCAATGCGACGCAAATCCAATGCCAAACCGCGCCAATGCAATGCCAATGGGGGTCCTCAGGGCAGAGCGCGTATACTGCGCCGACACGAGAAATACTGCAAACAACACGTCACCACCCGACCCCTGAAAAAAAAACACCCTTTCAACCAAAAAATGCGCGCGGCGTCGAGGCGAGAATGCCAGTTTTGTGAAAATGTGCGCGGCGCCGAGGCGAGAGTGTGATTTTTTGAAAAATGGCATGCCCCCATACCGCCACTTGAGAATCCCCCGCCCTCCACGACCCACCAGTCGCCCACCCCGCGCCCGGCCCCCCTCACTCTTGTCCGCAACTGCGGGGTGCTACAGCTTTCCTTGTCCTCTTCCCCTCTCTCGGCTTACCCTGCACACCCGTCCGCGTCCTCCTCCGTTTTTGTTGCGAGTGCTCCTCCTTGGAAAGCCCCCTGGGGGCCTCACGAATCCTCTTGGGCGCCCATTTGGGGCAGTGGGGGCTTCCTCGGGCCACCTTGCTCCCAACCACGGTCTCCTCCTCAGTTACCTGGTCACGAATTGTAATGGTTTGGGGAGCGTCTTGAGGTCTTCTCAGGCCGTCTTGGGGCTCTCTTCGGGTCATGTTGGGGCCCTGTTGCGCCGTCTTGGGGCCCTACATGCAGAATCCGATGGGCGAGACCCTGTGGGTGCGACCCTATGCGGCCAATCGCGGCCAAACACCGCGAGCACCCGTGGAGCGGGAACTTGTGGTAGACTCGATAGCCAATAAGGAAGAAAGGGAGGAAAAGAAGGAAGAGAAGGAAAAGAAGGAAGCTGCGGCCCTGGAAAAGAGCCCTGCAACCCCGGAAAAGCCTGGAACCCCATGAAAGAGCCCCGCATCGTCCGGGAAAGAGCCCTATCGGTGGAGCCCTGTAGCCGAATGCGACCAGACCCCGAGGCCACCCCATGGGTGGAACCCAGCGGCGCGCGGGACCCCACGGTAAGCAGGACCTTAGGGTAGCCAGAGCGGGAGCCTATGGCCAAACACAGACGGACACCCGCGACCACCGTATCGGCGAGACCCTACGTAACTACCTATACGACCACCCTTCGGGTGATAATGAGGTTGGGGGGTGGGGGGAAAGAACCAACTGATGGCAAATGCGATGGTTGTGATGATGACGATGCTGGTGACGCGCTCTCGAATCAGCGACGACGCGTGATGACGATGTTGCGCTGCGATGTAATGCCACTATCGTCCCCGCCCGCTTTCGATCTCGTTATGGATCTCACAATGGCCTTCACTATCGAGACAAAGGCGGGTCATCCCCTGCCACCGCCCGCACACCGCCGACAGAACATCGACGGGACACCAACGGGACACCACGGCGGTACACCCCGAGCCGCCACAGCGCGCCCACCAAGGGCGGATGGGCGGCCCACTGCATCCGAGTCGGCGGGGTGCCTGGGCGCCATGCGCCCACGCAACTTCGCCGCGCCCGCACGCAACGACACGAACACGAAACCGAAACCGATTCCTCGGTGGGGGGCTCTCCGTTCCACTGCGACCTCACCCCCGAGCTCCGATGGTGGCGGAACGGCGAGAACTCCGGGACAGACCACACTGTGGGCGGGCGGGCGATCTGGGCGGGACCCCTTAATTAGGCGCGGCAGCATCTGGGTGGGAGTGCATGTAGATGAAAGAGAACTATGCGCATACACCGATTCTGGCCAGGCCCATTTTGAGCCCAGGATCGGTGCATACGCCCTCCGACCCTGGCCAGGAAGGCATGTGCACCGATCCTGGGTCAAGGATGGGCCCGGCCAGGATCGGTGCATGTGCACAGTTCTCTTCGCCCGAGTATGACCGGCCGCGCCTGCGCTCGGGTGGCCACCCCATGAAGCGGGACCCAGTGGTGGGTCGGGCCCTGTGCTCTGAGCGGCCCCGCGGGGCAAAACCCCTGTGGGCTGGACTCTGCGGCCAACTGCGGCCCGCGCCCCGAACTTCCCTGCGGGCGGGACCCATGCAGGAGAGCCCAGAATCGAATCGATGAGTCGGATCGGCGATCGGAGTGACCAGGCTATAGATTCAAAACATATTCAAAAATAGTCCCCAGGCTATCTTTTTATTATTTTTGTTTCCCCCTGTAGAGGGACAGGCCCGCCTTAGCATTTGGCGGAAGGGGGGGAGGGGGGGGTCTGGCTCCGGACCTCTGCTTGCTGCGACTGTTTGCAACAGTGGGTCCCAGGCTGCTCGAAACGGGCGCCCAGAACAGCCAAGATCTACCACAGGGGGGCGGGGGAGGGGAGGGGGCGAGAGCCCGCGCCGATCGGCCGAAGAACGAATGAGAAAACGATCACCATCCATCCTGAGCCGTTTGTTTTCGGAGGGTACCGGGGCACGTGGACGGGAGCTCGAAAACGGCGGGAAGCATGACACCGGCGGGTCCTGGGGTGAAACGCGCTCTGGCCGCCGAAACCTCCCCCCGGGGAAAGTGATCGTCCCTCTCAGAGCGGACACACTTAGAGATGAATCCTCCAAAGCCATCACACGAGTAAGGTTGACACGAGGGAAGAACACGGCATGCGCAGACCATGCTAGCTGCCCTCTCGCGCCTCCCACCAGACCCGTGTCAGTCAGGCCTTGCAGAATCCTGGAAAGTCCTGCACCCAAGCCCGGGTCAATGCGAAAGATCCTGCAAGATCCTGCAGGATCCTGCACCAAAGCCCGGGTCAATGCGACCCTGGCCCTGCAGGATCCTGCAAGATCCGGCGCTTTGGCTGACCCCCGTTTGCATTGACCCCCGTCTCAAGGCTCCCGAGCCGTTTGTTTTCTGAGGGTACCGGGGCCGGTGGACGGCCCCGGGAGCTCGAAAACGGCGGGAAGCATGACACCGGCGGGTCCTGGGGGGAAACGCGCTCTGGCCGCCGAAGCCTCCCCCCGGGGAGAGTGGTCGTCCCTGGAAGCTCGAGCACGGCGGCAGGCATCCAGACCCGGGTCCGTCCGATCCACGGCGGCCCGTGCCAGGCGCTCGCCCGGACGGCCACCGCGCCCCGCGCGGTGCCGGCGCGCGGCGAGCTCCCGGGGTCCGGCGGCGTGCGGTGCGGGGCCAGGCTTGAGGCGCCCGAAGGGACTCGAAGCACTGGCGCTCAAGCAGGAGGAGGAGGAGGAGGAGGAGGTTTTTTCTCCTTGCCTCTCTCGCTCCTCTTCCTGCTGCTGTGTCCTCCCGTGCGGTCCCAATCCTCGCTCTCCCTCCACCCTGGGGTAGCCCCACTTTGGGTTGTGATGCCAGCCCCTTTCATAGCGCCCGCCCCCCGCCAGCGATGCTGTGCTGCTGGGACGAGGAGGGGCGGGGGCGAGGGGAGCTCCTGACCAGGATCAAACGTCCGCAGTCCCAGTCCCAGGAGGAGGAGGACCAGGTGGCAGGGGAAGACTGCACGAGGAGGAGCGGCGAGGCTGCAGGAGTTCGGCCCCCTGCTGCACAGCAGCGGGCGC